ATCGATGAGCTTCGGAGGCCCCATCGGCTGCAGAACATTACAATGGTGGAGGTGATGGAAGGCAGAGGAGTTGATTCGCTGCTGGGGGGCCTGTCCCGACTTTATGCAAGGTTCAGGTGCCTGGGCATCAATGTGATGAGATTACACAGCAACAGGGAGAAGGGCATGTTGTCGAAGAGGGTGTCAAATTGGTGTGGCCATAGACACCTGGTACAGACCTTCACTCAGGGCGATGACCCGCAGGCCAACGGCCGTGCGGAAGCGGAAGTGCAACAAGTCAAGAGACGCATGAGGCTGATCCTTCATCAACCACAAGTCGAGCCAGAACTGTGGCCAGGAGCGATTCGCCATGCAACAGAGGAGAGATGCCGACAGCAGCTCAGCAGGCTGGGTGTTCCGGTGCAACCAATGCTACGGTTCGGGTCGAAAGTGGCAGTTCGCACGAAGAGATGGCATAAGGCGGGCCAGTTGGTCCCCAAGAAGCCAGAAGTCAAGGAGGAGACAGAAGATGTGGAGATGGTGGCTGGGGATGAGCAGGCCCCCAAGGAGGCAACAGCTGAGCCCACCTCTTTTGATAAAAAAGAGGATGTGCAGCAGAATTGGCAAGCTGCAGCAGAAATGGGAGCAGAAGGGCTTCCACTGGAAAAAGAGAGAATGGCCAAAGCTAAGCAATCAAGATTAACCCATTCATCTCCATGCAGCTGGTTGGTCCAAGCCCACTGATGACAAATGGCTGGGTAGTTCGCCATCAAGGTCGTGTTCAACACGTTCGAACTGCTCTACAGCCATCTCCAGAAGCTGATCAAGCGGCTCTCGAACTCCAGGAGATTGATGCAGACATCATCCGCAGGAGAGTGACTGGAAAACAAAGTTTGGACCCTCACCCATTGCAGGATGTGATCTCGCACATGTATGAGGAGGTACAGCCTGCACGACAACCAGCCCTGTCCGCGTTGTCACACTTCAGGACAGGGGGGGGACAGATCCAGGAGCTTGCCTGCAATTAGAAAACAAAGGGAGCTGTGAAGACTCGGCAGGAGGCATGGTGAAGTGTCTCGAGTGCGACCTTTGGCAACCGGGAGAACCTCGAGGAGCTGGATGTCGATTTTGTGAAGGTGATCTGCCGAAGGAACAGGATGGGCTGCAGGTTCCGGGGGAGGAAGCTTTGGATTTGCAAGCCTGTTCATGGACTCAGGCAGTGCAGTGGCATGAGGAAGAAGTTCGCAGCCACTGGCAGTTGAAAAGAATGTGGCTGGACCAGCTGAATCAGGTGGCAGGGCAGCGAACATGGAGGATGGCTTCAAGTCCTGGAAGAACAGCTGATGGTCCGGGAGGAATGCCTACAATGCCAGCATGGAGCCCTGGAGAGTTGGAGGATGGCGGCACTGCAGGCGGCGGGGGGTTCAAGAGAAATTGAAAGATCAAAAACCTCCGCTGGTTCTTCAGACATACACGGTGTCGCTGGCACAAGTGCGAAAGGAGCTGCATAAGTGGGTCGAACCCTTCAAGGATGAGTATGTCTCTCTGTCCACCAGCACGGGAGCGATCTTTCCGACCACAGAGGAGGCTTTGAAGAAGGATCCAAGATATCCCTGGCGGGAAGAAGCGCCAGCTATGTTAGTCCCTACGGTCAAGAGTCCTCATGGACGGCATCGGGCAAGGGTGGTCATCTGCGGCAACCATCTTACAAAGTCCCAGGTGGAGACGAAGGCTGTCAATCCGCTGGAGGCATCTTCTACCTCTTCGCCCTTTGAGCTATATATATGCAGGAGGAGCAGATGCAACTGTTCTCCGAGCTCTACTCAGGAAGAGTGCCCTGGAGAAATGGTCTGTAGCGAGTCTGGACGTGAAGACAGCGTTCTTGCTAGCACCACGAAGGGACGCTCAGCAGAGACTGCTCATCACGCGCCCACCTCGGGTGCTGGTAGAAGCAAAGGTGTGCGCCGCTGACGAAATCTGGGAGGTCAGAAACTCGCTTTACGGTCTTCAGGAGGCGCCTCTCAACTGGGCGAGATTCCGGGACGAAGAGATGGCAAAGTTCCGCTGGACTGATGAAGGTGAGTGCTGGAAGTTGGCTCGCGCTCAAGAGCCCAACCTGTGGAAAGTGATCCTCGATGATCCCTCCAAGTCACAGTTGCCGGACAAGGTCTATGGCTTTGTCGCCGTGTACGTCGATGACATCCTGGTAACTGGTGATGAAAAAAGGTGACTCGATCGACAATTGCTCGGTTCCAACAACAGTGGAAGTGTTCGACACCAGAATGGTTGACACCTGAGAGCAGCCTGAGGTTTTGTGGCTTTGAGATTGCCCAGGAAAGGAAGGGACTTCGTTTGCATCAGGAGTCATACCTGCGAGATCTTTTGGCCAGATACCCTGATATCAAACCAGCTCAAAGCCCACTGCCAGGAGTCTTGGATGAGACCGAGGAGCCGAACCCGGAGATTGCAGAGGTCCGAAAATCGCAAACCCTAGTTGGGGAGTTGTTGTGGCTGGCAGTGAGGTCGAGGCCGGACATCTCCTTTGCAGTGTCATGGTTGGGGCGGCAGGTGACTCATTGTCCATGTCGAGTTCAAAGATATGGAGCGCAGGTCCTGGGGTTTTTGCAAGGCACCATGGGTTTGGGCCTGTTATATGAAGCTTCACCTGATGAACCCCCGTTGGAAGAGAACAAGGGCATTCACATGTACTCGGATGCTTCATTTGGTCCTCCTGGGTCTCGTGGTCACCAAGGCCTCATAGCGATGTACTCAGGTGCTCCCATTCAGTGGGAAAGCAAGCAGCAGCCATTTGGCACCTTGTCCAGTTCGGAGGCAGAGCTCATGGGGTACTCCGATGCCTTAACCATCGGAGAGTCCCGCATCTTGCAGTCACCGGATGGTCCGTGGAGAACGAGACACCTTCGGCTTCGAAGTTTTGTGCTGCGGGAGCGAATCCGCACTGGCTGCTGACAGGCACGTCATGAGCCTGGAGCTTCGTTGTCGGTGGACTTGCTGACCAAGTCGATTGTCAGCCCGCCTTCATGGAGAAGGTTTCGAGAGTTCACTGGCTTGTGCGCTGGGGCAACTCCGACGAGGGCAGTGGAGGACTGTGTGCAGGTCAAGAGACTGATTGGGCTTCTGAGTGGGCTGATAGGCATTTCGTGTTGGCAGCCAGTTAGTGCGGTTGCCAAGGTCGCCAAAAGTGTGACCATTGCAGCGGTAGCTTCAAGTGTAGCTTGGCTGATGGGTAGGAAGGGTGGAGATGACCCCAAAAAAGTTGGTGAACCGGCATTTGCTCGGACAGGGGCGTCCAAAGAGGGCAATGTCGAAAGAAGAAAATGTCAAGAAGAGACAAGGGAAGATGAACCTGTCTCCAAAACCGGCCGCGACCTTAGCCCAAAGGGCTCCCCGGGCGGTGCGTCAGTGTGCGAGCCATGGATTCTGCGACCTCCGCGGGTGAGTGCTTTGAGAGCGCCAATCACCCACGCGGGACTTGGCACTGATCTCCCATGGGAGTTGATGAGGTTTGGCACGCCGCCGACGGGAACAGACAGGTGGGAATGCCTTGGTGTAGATCTCGGTGGTCGCCGTATCATTAAAAAAGTGTTGAAGAAGCCCCGGGTGCGAACCTTCCATCCACTACATCGTGGAACTCCAATGTCGATAGCAAGACTCTCGGCAACCAGAGTCACAGTGGTTTTTTCGCGGGGAAACCCGCGAGAAGTGTGGAAGCGCGTGGTCGTCACAGATGACTGGATGGAAAACAGGGGCTCTGATATGGAAGGGCTTCATGAGTGGTGTGGCTATGCCTTCTTCTATGTGAAGTTTGAGGCCATGCCGGAAGGAAGGGCGGGAAATCTCGACCGGCGTGATGTCAGGCCGGGACCACTTCCGCCGCCGGGATCAGTGTCAGCGATCAGGGGCTATGGAAGCTCCAACCCAGAGAGTTCAAGAGCAGCTCAACGGGGTCGAAAGGCCCTACAAGGATCGGAGAATGCAGAGGAAGAAGGGGTCACCTACGGTGGAAGGGGTATCAGTGCTTGTGACATTGAATCCATCGAGGGTGGCAGGATGACGGGCTATGAGCAGTCAACGGAGAATGCACCCCCGACGGCAGGTTCAGGTGACTCACTACCTCCTGAGGCTGACCAGTGGCCAATTTGGCTTGGTATTGAGACTGAAGTCCATCACCGTTTGGGCCGTGGAGATCAACGGGCAGGCGAAGACAGTGAGTCGGACGGAAGCTTTGAGTACGTGGGTGCTGGATGAAAAAAACCTAGCACCTGCGGACTTTTCAGTGATGGCCTGGCCATCAGGGGGGAGTGTGAATCCCCGCATTTTCACATAATGTGATCACAGGTGTTACATGCACCACCAAGCACAAACAAACGCTGTTCGTGGCTCAAGAAAAGCATCGTCCGTTTTTTCCATTGAAGGAAACTCAGATAGAAATTGTGCCAAACAGTTTGCGAACTTAAAACAATCCGAAACATTATTATATATATTTACTTATTTATGTCGGCGACTTGATAACCAGGTGTGCCTTATTTGGACTCTGCTGGCGATGATACAGTGAGTTTTACTTGGCTTCCCTTGGCACTTTCCAGTTGCTCAACTTGTTTGTAGGGGTTGCGTGGGTCAAAACAGGACCACGCTTGACCGATCATGAACATGGTCAACCTGGCAGGTCAGCCTACAAGGGTTTTGGGGGTCCAGGTTTTGACTCAGCCTTTGCAACTGACCCAAAAAGGGGCTAAGCGTTCAGCGTTCTTCCCATCATGGCCCTTTGCCTCTTTCCTTCTCTTTCCTTCAATACCTATATAAGGATTTCAAAAAGATTTCAAAGGATGTTTCTCACCTCTCACCCAAATACACTGCATGCAGTTCAATCCAGCCCACTTATATAATGCGTCGTCGGCAGTTGGGCACCGAACATGTTCCTTCGTTGTCATCCCTGAGTCTTCCCTCGCACCACAGCACATCCACTGTACCCCGATCCGTCTGCGTTTCGTGAGCTTCGCCTCTCTCCACTCTTTGGCCATCAATGCGCTCTGGCGAGGTCCATAGGAACCATCAGGTTGCACGTAACCTGGACGTGTCAATCGAGGTCGACGGCAGAAACCGCCCTGATGACGAAAGGATGTCCATGCTCCGAATACCAGACAGGCCAAACAGGTGGTGCCAGACTGCCCGGCAGTGGTGCCTTTATAGTGACCGCTAAGATCCCCAAAGCAGTTACTGTAGATGAGTGACTGCCTCCAGCACAATGGCATATGTTAGCGATCTCAGAATATAAAGGTGATTGTTTCAGGTATCCACTGCCACCACAAATTACCATACCCGAATGTACCCGAGCTATTCATAGAATGCACTTTTGGCTCTTACAAGACTATATCATGTACCATTCCACACAGTGTCTGCATACTATATAGGGGGGTTGCATTCTGAATTCTCTGCGATCGGTTTATTACTATCTTATATATAGTAAGCCACGAGCAAACATCTTTGTCTTTGATTAACCTGACTTGGGTGTACTTTTATTAGGGAGACCACCCACGCAACGACCTGCTGGACGAAATATCGACCAGTCTACCCAGTCTACCGCGCCAGGGGGTCTCCCTGGGGGTTCTCCCTGTTGAAAAGCACACCCCATTGGCGGTCAAAATCAAGGGACGCTGCGTGACCAGACATGGTCAACCTACCAAGGTCAACCTACGGTTTTGGGGTTCCAGGTGGAATAGGCTCACAGCCTAGAAGGTTCCAGGTTTGGGTCAACCTACCAAGGTGGAATGATCCCCCTTCGAGCTCTCAAGTTATCGCTCTAGAGATTCTGCAGTCGTGGCAACTCCAGGGCCCCCCTGCTCCCTGGATCGAGAGGGGCCGTGGCTTGGCCGTTGGGCCAAATCCGTTTGGCAAGCTGAACTTCTGTGGAATTCCCATGACCCACAGCCTGTTCTCTTTGAGTTGGGTTCCCCCAACCCGGCTCTGAAGGCCGTCCAAGTTCACGCCCCCTCTGCCGACTGGCCGCCTGACACGGGTGAAACGTGCGCGCCCCGAAAACGATGGGCGACGCATGGTGCCACATCCAACTGCAGCTGAGAACTGAACATCACAGTATGATTAGGTGTTCTTGAATCTTCTTGATGTGTCCATGGGACTTCTACCACTACTTACTGGAGGTGCTCATCAGGCTCAGTCTCATGGATCTTGACCATGGCCATATGCCAGACTTGACGACACTGAACACACATCAAGAACCTGAAGGTTCGATGACATGGAAGGAAATTCCATAGAAATGACATCTTCATGGGCCACTCTCTATGAAACGAAGCAATTTACCAGCTCAGGAGAGTCCAGGATCAGTTCCATCAACACCGCAGCGTGGTAGAACGAAGGACAGTCGGACGCCTGTGCCAGTAGGACACCTCTGCGTCCTGTGAGATCATAGGTCCGGTCTCGACGCTCGCTCCAACCTGAAGGCGAAGGCGAAGTCAAAGCGAGGTCTCGACCCTGAGACCCTACCAGCACCCGACTTCACAGGTCACCACCGTCGCGACTTTTTCAAAAGCCTCCAGAAGAGACCTGTTGGAGTGTTGGTAGAAGGTATCTCAGGATGATTTGCCCTTGCAAAGCGGCTGGATCCCCTTTGCCAGTGCGGAATGCGGTTTCTAGTTGTGTGCAAGATTGAAGAGGTATGGGAAAATCTGTGGATTGAAAAGGTCTGATGATTGGGAACTTTGTGGAGCGCCTCCGCAGCCCCACACATCCCCAAGTCCCTTCACGGGGCCAGGATCTCTGGCGTCTACTTGGGCCAGACCTCCAACAAAGCTCCGTGGCCTATTGACTTCATGAAGTCCCAACGACTCCAGCTGCGCAACTCCGTCCACTAAGGAGTTCTGCACCCGACCCCCTTTTAGGGTTCCTCCGATCACATCCAACCTTTTTTGCAGGTCTATCGGTGTATCCCAAAGGGTGGGGACTCCTGAAGGAGGGCAAGATGGATTCATAGGCTCCCTGAAAGCATGCACCCAACCAATGGTTGCGTGCATGGCATGGGACCCCGGATTTCGACTCGGATGACCATGTTCCACGATTCCTTGCAGGTGGTGGTTTTCCACTTCCACGATTCGACTCAGGGAGTGTATTTCAGTGGAAGACATGTTTCGTTTTGGTTTCAAACATGTCTTCCCAACAAAAGGCGCCACTTCCCCACCCAGCACTACTGATCACTCCTTCCTTCAAGACTGGCTTGCAATGCAAACTCATGGCGTGAAGGAAATCCACAAGACCAATAAGAAAACATAATAAGAAATGTGAGTTAAATCCACAAGACGGCTAAACATAAGCTGACATGTGGACTTATTATTTCCTTCTTTCCATACCCAACACTGCTGAAGTTCCCATGTGACTTCTGCCGCGCAACTTCGTGGCTTAGCTTTGCCACTGGCACCCGTTGCACGCAGGGGCACAGACTGGCGCATCAGGTGGCGTGTGTTCTTTCACAGAAACTGATTCAACACGCACGCACACGAGCGCGCACGCGCATGTAGGTTTGACCCGCGCCGCTGAAGATCTGATTATCTCTAACTGACTTACCATGACTTACCAAAGTAATCACTTTGGATGCTTTGGCCCCATATCAGAACAAAAAGGTACAAACGATGCTAGTTTGGCTCCTTCAAAGAGCTTCAATACCGCCTTCTCGTTGGTGCATTCGGTAACTTCTTTATTCCTGTCACCACCTTCGTCTGTAAATAGGATCGAGTCTTTTACTCTTGGGACTTGTCAAACCTCCCAAAATTGGGACCCAAAGTGATCTACGGATCGAAATGTCAATTCCCTTGTTACGTTCGTAGCTTCTTGCTACTATATTTTGGCCAGGAGCGCCCCGTTCGTAGCTTCTTGCTCTGTTCGTAGCGATGTCCTTTGCTCCGTTCGTAGCTTCTACAATAAATATATATATATACACCTGCGAGCAGAACATGTGGGTTCTGATGTGGGTTCTGCTGGTATTCTTCTGATCAGCACCTGACTTGAGCCAGCGGCCTGATGAAGTTGCAAAGTTGGTCGACGCGTGAGACTCACTCTCCTCCTCTTCTTCTTATCCGTCTTCTTCTTCTTGTTCTTCTTGTTCTTCTTCTTCTTCTTCCTCGTCTTTCTTTTTCTGCTGCTTCTTCTTCTTCTTCTTCTTCTTCTTCTTCTTTAGTCTATGGACTCCATGGAGGGTTCAAGAGCAACATCTTCAAGCAGTCAACTCCTCATGATCAACTTGCCCAAGAAGAACCCACTATTGCAGGAAGGATGCCTGCACCTGATCTATAAGATGAATATAAACTATATACTATATAACTATATAATTATATATCCAACACTATATCCCACCATACATTGTACACCATTTGGAACATCCCAGGCGTAGGATGTCCTCCTTCAACCGTCACCTGGGCATGTTCGAGCCTCTTCTTTCAACGTGACTCTGCCTGCACCGGTCCAATCTCTTTAAACGCATCCGGGTTACCAAAGCATCTCCCTGCAGGGAAATAAAAGGCAGGGTTCTGCCTTTCCGGTTCTGCCTGGAATCGTCTTCATGTCGTTTCCAGGTATAGGGAGTTCTTTGTGTGGAATCTTTGTGGTGCAAGATGGGTGCACCAAAACCGACCTTGTGACATCCTCAAAAGGTAGTGGTAATTCTAGCACTCCCAGTGGCACCCTACAACCTTCTGAGCTAGTATGAACTATAGTTGGAGACTCCTCAGACCCGAAGAAGTCATTCGCCATCTCTCTGAGAAGTCCCACGCACTTGGAGGATCAGGCCTCGCAACCGGAGATGTGAACTTCGAGGTTCGTTTTCAGAGGTCTCGTTCGAGCAAACTCACACGACCAGCGCTATGAGGAGTTGAAAGGGAAGAGACCGAACTCAATTACCCACCAATAACCAAAGCGCTCTTGGGAGTTCGGTCTCCCATTGAAAGGGCCGGGTTATGGGTTGAGACCGGTCTCTGCCGGCCGACCTAAACCGGGCCCTTGGGAACGTTTGGAGACCAGGAAGTCTACCCAGCCTGGGGCGATCGGGCGTCTCCCACAGCGTGAAAATCACCCAAACAGCTATCAGTTGAACCTTGCCATCCAAACAGCTATGAGCTCTGCCAAAACTTTCGGGGACCCAAGCGAGTATGAATCCCCAAATCGGATGTTTTAAGAACTCGGGTTTGCGGTTCTGAAGTAAACGTGAAACACTTCTCACCCCACTTGGGCATCGTGAGCCCACTCCGGGAATGTTCGGAAGCATGGTGCCTCACAAGGTAGAACTATAGCTTGCGGCTACCTTCACAAAGATTGTGCTACTAACATAAAACTAGAAATAAACAATTTCAAGACTGGGACTAAGAGACAAGGTGAAGAAAACAACACAAGCAACACATGTTGCTGCGTTCGTCTGTTTGAAAAGGTAGATCCCTAGACTCGTCTACTCGCTCTGAGAGGTACTGAGACTTCAAACCCGAGGTACCCCGGGTTTGTATCTTATACAAGCGGCAGTCTACTAGTCTACTGTTTCTGACTGACCAGGCATCTGGGAAAGGTCTATAAAACACACATATATATCATAGGGTCTTGGCAGCTTTGTTGATTCCAAGTGTTCGTAGCTTTCCAGTCACAGAGAAGGTCGACCAATCGAGTACTACCACAGGTACTACGTCTGTCTCCTCGTCCGTCCGCCCGACCTGGAGGGCTCACCAACTCACCCGGTCCGTCGATCGCGCGTGTCGCACCTCAACCCGACATCACTGTTGGAACGCGAAGATAGATTGGAGGGCTGCTCCTCCCCTGCCTCGGTCACAGCATAGGATACCCTTAAGGGATTTCCACATCCGTAAGGGATCGGTGCTCGGGAGTTTGGAGGAGTTTTGGAGGGTCCAAGCTGAGTGAAATGGTCTCGCAGCACAGCATGCCAAGCATGCCGTTGATGTGCAGCACGACCCTTCTCCAATTCCTTCTCGGTTTCAAACCAAAGTCTTCCGGCCTCCTTTGGTTTTGATCAAAGTTAATTTATATACACCTTGTCAACCCGTACAAGTGGTGCAAAAGGAAATGGCTTCTTCTGGTTTCTTGAGCAAAACAAAGTCGTCGTTGCTCATCGTCTCTCATCGTCTTCTAGCAGTCTAGCAGTCTGGGCAAAGTCGCTGCTCCTTCGTCAGGCCAGGAATCGCTTTGAACAAACAAGCGCTTCCGTTTCATCCAGAGGGGTCGTATGTTCCAAGAGTCCGGCAAAGCGCTGGCGTTTGAACACGGACTGTAGCCGTCCAGAGCGAGCCATCCGCGTGTGTCCGAAAAAGGACCGTGTGAACTGCGTTTGGCCAAACGATCTGCTCTACACCGTGAATCTCTGAGCTCGCGGCACCTGCAGAGGTGTCGCGGCTGGCAACACTGTCACCATCCTCGCCAGGAGGCGGAACAGCCTATGAAGACGGCAACATGAAAAGGTGGAAGAGTTCGTAAGTTTGGACCTGTTTTGGTTGCTGTTTTGGTAATTGTAGACCTATTTGGGATCCATAAATTTCGACCTGTTGGTTCGGTAAACGGTAAACCAACCTCTTAGCTTGAAGAGAAGCGAACGAATGAGGCATCGCCGTCTTAAGCACCTTTGTTTTTACTTGGGTCCATGTTCAGGGTCACTGCATCATGTTCTGTGAATCGCAGGTACTGCAGGGCGATGTGTTTTTGAGACTGCGTTTGAGAAATTGGTTCAAGCCACAACTGGCCGATTCACCTATAATGTCCTACATCATCCTACATCAGAACAGTTAGAACAGTTGGACTTATGTCCCTTAATCTATCATCCAACAAGTAAAGACCCAAGTAAAGCGTCTAAACCGTCTGTTCCATCGCAAGGACTCCGCTGGACATCATCCCAAGTCGCACCATGCACATCCCCGGACTGGAAGGACGGGTCACGAACAGCAGTCGTTGGCCATCTCTCATATTCATGTTGGAGAAATGAATGCCTTAGTCATCCCATGTCATCCCTAGTCTATAGCTGATTTAAGGGGCGCACTGTCTCTCAAACAAACGCGTTGAAGAATTGAAGAGGATCCAAGTCAAGAGTTCGTTCCTGGGTAAAACATCGTCAAACTACACCCTGAGCAGCTTGCAGCTCACATCCCCGCTCGTAGCTCGCAGATTCCTTGGCATTTTCCACCTTCCACCTTGGTGCGACCGGAGGGTTGCCCTCGAGTGGCTCAGGTGGCCAGCTGCCCAGAAACCCAAAAGAATGAATGGAGTCCCTTCCAGTCAGGCTGCTCTCCCAAGAACTGCTCTCCGAAGTCCATGTCGGACAGTTTTTCATTTTTTTTCAAGTGATGCCAAGTGCATGTCTTCCCTAGAAATGCCTAGAAACTGAACCGGTTTGAGACTGGGCCATATTTGCTACTCACGCCCACCTACAAAAAGGGCTTTCACTCACACGTGCCCACTGCAGGTTGTTATTGACTTGTTGTCACTTGCTGTGGCGACATCAGCCTGAAGGATTGCCCCAAATAGCATCACTCTACGACACTTCATTGATGGAATACTGTCAAACCCCCGAGCCGAATCCACCCCAATGAACATGACGGAAAATATACCAGTCCCACGGAGTGTCTGGGTACGGGTGGTGATGTTTCTGCCCAGATCCAAAAATGACCTCAAAAAGGATCCAAAGGGATTATGTGGTCAGGAACGATCAATTCCACATGAACCACCGATGCTCTTTCTCAAACAGGGGCACCCTGGCGGCACGCATTGTGAAAACATGCGACAACCAAGCCCATGACATTTGGGTAGAAATTCAACCATGCAGCTGAGCCCGTCAAAGCTGCTTTTGGGCGCCATAGCTACCTCATCTGCCTTCCAACTTTCCCCCAGGGCCACTCCTTGCAACACTCCATGGCCAAACAACCCACTCGCCTGGCAGCTTTCACTTTGGACAAGAGCTCCTAAGTGAAGGAGCAACCACATGGGCCGTCGAAACCTTTTTTCACTGTACCTCCACACGGACCCACGGATGACCGAGAAAAAAAAGAAGCATTAGGTGCCCCTTTGGAAACACCTAGGAGTAGCTCTAAAGCAAAGTCCGGTCAACATGACTTGAATTGAAATGGCCCCAGCTCTCACAGCGAAGAAACAAACATGCATCTCACAGCTGCTCCTCTTTGCTTTCACGGAGTTGTTGGAGTTCCGCTTCCTGGCAGCAAAACACCAAGGGCTGCAGGCCTGCCTTGTCACTCACGGGTTTTTGAATCTTTTGGCGATGTTTGGATCTTGAACCCCCCCTGAGTAATTACATGTGGAATGGTTAGTAAGGGGTGCCACTCTGTTGTGCCATAAAACGAGACCCCTCCTTTCCTGGGTCGAAGCATCCCGGCAAAAGGCTTCAACGGCACAGCTCGACTAAGAAAGGCCTTGACTCGACCGAAGCCACCTCACCAGCACGTGTGGTGCCAAGTCCCAGCAGAAAAAGAGTCCTTTTGAGCGCCCAGAATGTTCAGGAGCCTTTGTGAGAATCAAATCCAATGTCCAATGTGGTTTGATCTTCAATGAATGTTGTCTTTGATGACCATTTCCTAATCCATAAGCAACGAGTTCTGAAAACATGAACTTCTGTGAACTTCCTCCGCTACTTAGGGGATTAGGGGTCTGATCTCGCCCCAAGGCACAGGGCTCCGCGTGCCGCGCCACTTTTCTCGTGGCACGTCTCAGCTCCACCAATCTTCAGGAGGTCTTTCCAGGTAGCTCACGCTCAGAAGCCCATCCTGGCCGATTGGTGGACGATCTGGTGCGACCGTGGTGCGACCATGGTGGCGCCGCATGCTTCACAGCAACTCCACGTAGTAGCTATCGTTGTCGAGACCCTCGCTTCCAGGTCTTTGGGATGGTTTGGTCCTTAGACCAAGTCCTCGAGCTCCAGATCTACCATGATCTACGGTCGGTTCCACTTTCATGTTTGTCTTTAAGACAACGATCTGTTATGAATTTAATCAATCTTCTTTTGCCAATTCCTTTTCATTTGCAGTTCAGCCTGTTGCTCAGTCAGCCCGTGGGGCTACACCGGCGACACCCCACCTTGATCGCGGGCAAGAGGTCCCTGGGCACCCGTTGTGCTCGCCACTCCTTCGAACGAACGAGGCGTCAGCAGTGTCAGCGGCACGGGACGTGAGGGGGTGGGGCCGGCTGCTCGGCCGTTGCTCAGGGCCAAGAGGACATGTTGCTCAGAGGTTTAAGTTGAGTTTTTGCTCGGCCAGATGCATGAAGTTGCTGCATCAAGGGAATCAAAGAGGAGACCCCCCAAGTCCTTGCAAGCACCCAAGGTGCTTCCCTTCTTGCCAAACCTTGGGCTTTTGTAGCTTGATGGATGGTGTGATGAACCCTCTCTCCTGAGAAGCAGATGGGTCTGTAATGGTCTGTATAATAAGGAGACCTCCCAGGCAACGCACCCCTGCAATTTTCGGGAAATCGATCAGTCTAAGGTCTGCCCTATCAAAGACAAACCCAGATCCTGTTCTGGAACCCTTTCAGGGCATGGAGACTGATGGAGACAGCACAACTGGCCGTGACGGCTGCCGTCCTCCAAATGCTCCTCGAAGCCTGGGGCGTCTGTGACCGGCCTTTCCGAATGAACCCACCAAATACCTCTGTTGGCATATGGAGTGGCCGACGGTGGATCGCCACTCCAAGGTCACTTCGACTAGATAGTGTAGGAGGCAAGGTTGACGGTCTTAGATGATGTCATTTGGGTATATACCCCATTCATCATTCATCCCCATTCCCTGAACCCAGGGGATGATGATGGTTGATCAAGGCGTTTCTCTCAAAAAGTACCGACTGTTACAGGTAATAGGACAACCCTCAAAAGTTCCAAATCAGGGAGTGTAGTTCTCCAAACCCCCAACCAAAGCCCAGATCGACCGCATCGAAGGTGGAGGGTCGTTTTGAGAGAACATGCAGTTTTTCGTGTTCAACCAAGATGAAATTCACATACTGCAACTGCATGTAAATCCACCAGAGAACCAATATCCTCAACAACATAATCCGGTGTGGAAGCTGCTGAGCAGGGCTCTCTCTTCTCCCATCCGGAGGCCTTGCTTGGCGGAGCCACGGTCAAGCAGCGGCACGGTCAACGTTGCCGTGAGCTCTGCCAGGCAAGCGGCGGCAGCCTCTCCGGCACCAGGTGAAGGGCCTCCAAATGTAGACCGTGCAATGTGGGTGTGAGTTATTAGAATAATTCATACTAACACGCCCCCAAGACCCCTGTGGAAGCAGGACAACAGAACCCATGGGTTGGGGGCCCTATTGGTTCATAATACACCCGAGTGTATTCCTCATGCCGTTGCCAGACATACCCGAAACACCAGGTCAACGTCGAGGCTTTCGTAGCACGTCGAGGCTTTGGGGTAGACACCAACTTTTTGGATCCCACCAACTGGGCGGGCGAATGTGTTGGTCTTTCAACTCTGAAAACCGGAGCGTAGTGAAGCATCGGAGCCGGGCGAACGTTTCCGCGCACGTTTCATCGGAGCACACCGAGTTGCTTTCGATGACATCGGAACGAGCCCGGAACGAGCTCGTAAGGTTGGAAAGCTTCCTCAAACGGTTTGAAGTGGCCCAGTGTACTGTGCCAGACACTCCATGGGACTGGCAAGCCATGGCAAATCTAATCAAATCTACCTACCTTGGCGTGGTGAAAGGGGTCAATGAAGGCAGACTTGCTGCAGGCATGTGTCTGGGTATGGAATGGACTCTGGACCTCAGTTGAAGAACGAAGCAAAGAATCTGAGCTGTCCAGCTGACAAAGTGAACACCTCCTCAATAGATCCCAATTGTTCCCCATCTTGCAACTGATGCAGCACAGCTGCTCGGCTCCCCCAGATACGCTGCCAAGTTGCACAAACCGTGTGGTTCGTGAGTCCACCAGTTGATGAGGAGGGTCATCCTGGTGCTAGACCAAAGGCTAGGGCTGTGGGTGTTCGAATGGCTAGGACTGGTGTCTATTGATCGAGCCTCCCAGTCCGTCGGAGTCCCAAACAATAGATCCGCAACAAATAAGATAACTTCATAGGTGATGGTGGTATTTGTATAGTTACTATGGTATTTGGATGTATTTGGCAGCTATATACAGTAATAAAAACAATGTAAAGACAAACAGTCTATGCATTGGGCCAGGAGGGGTCTCCCTTTTCCAATACACGCCCATGTGCCAGCCTGGCTGCCAACAAGAAAACACCGACACCCAAGATGAAACTTGGATTCCGCCAAAGAAGAAGTGTCAATCACTCAAAACGTCTAAAAACCACTCCGCAAATCCAGTTTATGATTTCAACATATGATCATGAATCATGACTTGCGAATTGGCACCATGTCTCGAAGACATTTGTAAATCAGTATCTTCTTCCAAACCATACATACAATCACTCTGATCTGTGCCCAACCAAACGGAACCCCACTTTGGCGCTCTGGAGCTCTGTTTATGTCCAATGAACTGCATGCAGTCACTGAGAGTCACAGAGCATCGCCCGGAGATCATTTCCGGCCAGAGGATTTGAGAACGCTGATCACCTCGGGGACACGGCCCCACTTTTCCGCATATGTCAGCGCAGTCCGGGCCCACCAATCCTTGGCATTCACATCTGCTCTCTCCTGAAGCAACAGCCTCACCACTCGCGGCCCTGCTTTAGGAGATCCAGCAGCCAACATCAGTGGAGTCATTCCACCCTCAGTCTTCGCTGCCCTCAATCCTTTCCCTCGCTCTTTGCGCAGCAGCGCTCGTGTGAGAGCTAAGTTGCCATTCTGCGACGCACGGTGCAAGGCAGTGAAACCCCGAAAGCCCCCGACGTTTGGATCAGCGCCCGAATCCAGCAGTCTCAACCCCGTGTAGGTGTGGTCTGCAGCCGCAGCTTCCAGGAGTTCCATGCTCTTTCGGTCCTTCTGGTCTTGGGCCTGCTGGCAAAACATGTTAAAAACATTCATGCATAAGATAAATCTGCTATGTATATATGTGTACTAGTAGATAGTAGATATGTATATATATATATATGTGTATGTGTATATAAATATAAACCAGCTACTATGTATATATACAGTACTGTTGAAACACTGTGAGCCAAATGGAATGCCAGCTATAACAAGTTCTTGCAACATCAAAACAACCCCAGAACTGATATGTTGTTGGGCCGGCCCTGGGGTAGAAACATAAAGAGCTTCTTCCTGCCAAACATGTTCTTCTTCACTCCTTTTGACGTTTCTTTTGAACAATTGCTTGTGAGCTGAGATCACCACCAAAACAACCACCATGAGGTGTTGACATCTTTGCTACTTTGAGCTCCCATGCGATTCCTGCTTCCGTTTCAATAGCCATCAGCTCCCGTTTCAATCCTCAAACACTGAGTTGATTCCTTTTGGTCCGCACTTCCCTGCTATAACTCAATTGAAAAGGTTCCAAGTAGTTCTTCACGGGGGGTACTTCCTGCGGACACAAACGTAACCATTGATTGCATTCTACCTCGGAAATCTCTGGTGAATTCTATCGTTTGACGCATGCCCATCGTGCGTCAAAACACACCAGCAGTGAAATCGATTCTTCTGGCCTCTTGAAGCTTTTTTAGATTCTTGGCCAGAACTGATGATAAACTGCACGACTTCTCAATGCAATCGATGCAAGTCCAGGTTGGGCGGGAACGATATGCAAACTCTTCAGGCGTGAAGTGCTTTTGGACACGAAACCAAGGCTTCAGGTCCGAGAACATCCGTTTCCGCAAGATAGGGCTTGTTTTACTACACGTGCCCTTCAAATCCAGCAAGATGATTTGCGGGGACCACCAACCAAGTGCCCATGCCGCAATGCCCAAAGTCGGGATCTCGTGTTGAGACAAAACGGACTGGTCCAAGCGCCATTTGCCAGTCAAGTCCTTGTTGACCAAGGCAATGACGGTGCCCTGGTGCTTCTGTCTCATGCCCAAAACGAAGGAAAAACTTGCAAAGGACCAGAAATTGGCCACAACTGGATGATCACGGCATTGGTCCAGTTCATCAAATTTTTCAATCATTTGGCCCAGCTTGGTGCTTGGATGGACTGTTTGAGATTCCGTCAGGCGAGCAAACTTGAGCAAGTTTTCCTTCGAGGACCGCTCCAAATGCCCTTTGGGGGCATCGGGGTCGGTCCAAAAGCCGGCCCACAAAATGGCGGCTTTCTCCGTTGTGGCCAAACCCACGACCCATTGCTTCATAAAATAAAGACTTTGCACCAAGCGCAAAGTCTCCCTTCCTACCGGGTTCCATTTACTTTGGACTAGCTTGCTGGGAACACGCATGGCCGCTATGATGTCCTTGCCATGCAGGAATACGTCCTTGGCGGAGTCCACACATGTCTTGAGCGGCAGACTGCCAAAGTAATTCCGATCATCCCATGGTTTTGCCTGCCAACGTTTTGAAACAAAGAGTCAAAGATCTGATAGGTCATGTATCGCATGCGATGTTTATTGGATAGTTACTGTGTCAGGGGTGAAAAGTCAGAAATTGATGTTTCCCCAACTGCCAGGGAAGGGCGAAGTTCTACAGGTTTTGAGAAATGCTGCTGTCTCCTTCTCCTTCTTGTGCAGACCTCTTTGCACCGTGTTGCGTGCTACTTCCCCCAGGCTACTGCTTCACGCACACTGCAGACTTCTCTTGGCTGTGTTGCGCGCTGGGCTTGTCTGAGGCCATGTATGAACACTCTCTGACCAAAGTCGGGAAGGACGTTGCCCGAAGCGACCCACAAGCATGCTTCCAGCAAACAAGCAGCACTACAGCAGACCAGCAGCAAACCAGGAGACCAGCAGCAGCAGCAGCAGCCGCGGCAAGCCAGCAGCAAAACCAGCAACAAAGCAGCAAGCCAGGGGCAGCACTACCAGCAAAAGCAGTCCACATGCGATTTCCTGGCAGACTTGGAAGCCTGGGTGGCCAAAGACTTGGACTTGTTACAAAGGACAAAGGTTGCCGGAGCATGCTCCCACCAGTGAAAAAACAAAAGGTGTCGGCACGAACTGAGAGTTTGCTCTGGATCTCCCCGCCAAATCAAACACTGGAAGGTCATGACCCGCTCCATTCACGTGCCATCTCCGGAAGGGGACGTTGTTATTGTTGTTGCTTGTTCTATTGGAGGGGCACTGCGCCCTCCCCGACCCCCTCTAGCTTGTTCAGGCTAGGCCAGGCCCTGCTATCCAAGCAGCAGGCCGGCAGCAAGGAATTGGAGAAGAAAGTGTGGCATGTGCTGGCGCTGCGCAACCTCTTTGCCAAGACCCGTAGGAGACCCGGCTTTGATCCTGGGAAAGTACTGCAATTCACTACCCAGAAGCACAAGCACTTGCAGTCACTTTTGGTGCAACTCGCCAGCACGCCTGCACGCTGCCACAAGGAGCACACGTGCACACTAATTGAAGCAGCAACACCACCGTCGCCACAAACGAGCCCTGTATCCACAGCAGAAATCAATGCATGAGACCTGAGTCCCTGTCTCCCAACACAGGTTGGGAAGCACAACCCGAAGCTTCCAGGAGGAACTGTGATATAGCCATTCATCGCGTTCTAAACACCAGTCACCAAGCATAACCATTAGTATTCCCGATGGCTTAAGAATTAGTAATCATTAGACATGGAATGCCTCCACTCCTAGACACAAAACTACATGCACATGGGACACCAGCTTTGCAATAACTTCTCAAAATCCGTGGAGCCACAAGCATGAAAACTCAACGACTTTTGCACAGAACGTCACCTGCTCGCAAGCCTTCGTGAGCTCGACCAACAGTCCTCCCACCTGCTGTTGGCATGGGTCCTGCGCCGCAGTGAAATCCGCCGCAGGAGATGTCGCTACTTGGATGACTCCCGACGTATGACCACCAGTTTTTTGACCCCAGCGACCTCCAAAAACGAAAGGTTGATTTGTCTGAAGCGTCAACTGGGTACAGCTGTGGCCATGGCCCATCCTTGCGAGACTTCCCCTCGATGTAGTCCAGGGTCTTCTTGCTCGGGGCCTGGTACTTCGGGAAGAACTGGTCCTGCATGGCCAGACTTGTGACTTGGACGCTGAACTGCCAAGGGGTGAAGAAGTCTATGGTCATGCCAACTTTGTCCTCCAGTCCGCTTTCTCCAATACTCGGGTCAGTTCTAATTTGTTCTATTCCCATGTCGTCGACTCCGGTGCTCACTCCTTTACTCTCCCCACCGCCGCATACATCTAACCAAATCCATGGACGTTCTCACCAAAGAACTGTGGGCTGAGAGCGATCCACGTGGAGCACATGGTTATCACCAACATGGGTTTCGAGTGTTGCTGGGCGATATTCACCGAACCCGAAGTTGACTGCCTTGAAGTTGATGTGGCTTCAACACCGTGTGACAAAGACATGTTCCGGCATATAATGAAAATTTCCGAGAAACAGTGGCGTTCGGAATTGGCTGAGATGCTGACGTTCATAGTGCTATCAAATATTGTATCCAACACGAATGTGGCAGCGAGCAAACAAAGGATGTAAAAAGACATGTCATTCAGAAGCTTCAAGAACCAACAGATATAATATATATATATACACATGTTTGACATGGTTTGACAACATCACTCTCCTTGACGGCTGAAAGGGTGCAATTGTGTTGATACGGAGGCCTTTGACTCTGCATGTAAATAGGGGAACGCACTTCGCTTGAAACCACCCCACGTCCTCCTCAATCCATATCCACAAGCCTTCCTGGCAATTGTCATTCACTTTGTCAAGAAGTCCAGTGTCCTCCCACCATCCATCCCACTGGATGAACGTCTCCAGTCGTATGAGTTTCTTTTGAGACGTCTGAAAAACATCCACTCTCACGGGGCACCTCTGTTGCGGAGGGACGGAGTCTCCCACCACTGCGACCAAGTCAAAAGCGAGTCAAACCATCCATGATTGATCGGAAGATCTTGGATCTTGGATCGCACCAATAGGATCCACTAGGTGTTATCAATGATGCATTTCATACACTATATATAATATAATATATATAATATATACAGTATATAGTATATATATATATACAGTATATATATATATATGGCCCTGGGTCAAAACCTGCAACCCCAAAACCTCTTAGCTTAGCCTCCCTGGTACTGTTCTGCTAATTTTCCGTGGTCAACCAATAGTCACTCCCGTGTGCATCTCGCTAGAAATGGGTGAAGTGTTCATACTCCCTACCGTGGACAGGGGATTGCTGTTTACCTGACTGAAGCTCTCAACATTCATGTCTGGTTGACAATGTGCCACGATGATCATATTAAGCACAACTTACCTTCGACCTGACTTTGTTCTTTTGCTTGAGTTTCCTCCCTTAGATTGGTTGATTTCTACGCACTTCGACTGTCGACACATCCATAGGAATGAATACCTTTCACAATTTGGAGTCTCGCCTTCAGGAAGTCCACCAGCTCTTCCTGAATCTTCTCCGGCGTCATCTTGTCAGAATGAGGGAACATCTCCTGTCACGTCGTGGACAAAATCCGCCAAAAGAACATCAACAATTGCATAATCGCCATAAAAAGGCTGAAGGTTCGCAATTGACAGTCGAGCTTGAGCATCCCAAAGCACGAAAAGTATGGGGTCTTGCAATCAATCAGTCAATCAATCAATCAACCATTCAATCAATCAATCAATCAAGCAATCAATCAACCATTCAATCAATCAATCAATCAATCAATCAATCTATCAATCTGTCAATACAATGGATCAACTTAGCTAATTGTCTAATCAATATATTATATGGCTGTTGAGATTCATTGGTGGAATGACACTGGACGCCCTAGCCCCTGGTGTTCAAAATCCTTGATTGGCATGCGTGCTTCACCCCCAAAGCCACACCAGTGAAAGAGGCGTCCCCGTTTGCAAAGGCCACCGCGCCACTGAAAACCTTCGAGCACTTTGAGTCAAAGAAGGAGAACTACAAACAATCCTACGTCCTGCAGCAACCTTTGACTGGGGGGGTGATTCTCGGCATCTTCCAGCATGACATGCTTGGCGGAGCACCTCTTGGGCTTTGTCAGCCTCCATGTCGGACTGCTCCACCCGCATGGAAGCCACCACATAGACATAGAAAACCAATAAGTTCCACATCATCTTTGTTCGAATGCATATAGCAGGAGTTCGAAGAAACACACTGTTTGATGTTCACGGCTGCAGTTGCCATGCAAGAGTCACACATGCGAGGGTTTGACCATCCTGTCAGTCTGGCTGTGGGTCAAAACCAAGATACCTAGGTTTGAGCTACATGGTGGACCGGGGCTCCAGGCTTTGACCCACCCCCACATTTTAGTAAGTATTTCGTCCAACTTTGCGACTCTGTGCCCTGACAGCTGGCACCTGCCTCGGCTGCAGCTGAAACTCCACACATCTCACTTGCATTTAGTGATGTGGGAGAGGTGTCCACCAACCACCCGGAGAAACCCAGTTTGGGGGGCTCCAATCCAACTGAGTGAGATAACATGAGAGATCATCCTGCCCAAACCAACTCAAGCAGAGTCCAAGTTCGGAAATTGGGAAGTGAGTTTATGAGCTGCAACCCTCAGAACCAACTGGCACAGCAGGAGATGACAGAAGGTACCGATGAGGATGAAGGTTGCAACGAAGATGGTGTTGATGATGACCATGAAGATGAGGATGATGGTGAGAATGGTTATGTGGATCACACTGGTGCCAATGCCAAGATACAGTAGACGGCCGCAATTTCCCCGCTCCGTGCACCACAGACTATAGCTGCAAACACGTGACATCACACCATCATACTCATCCTGCTCACCAGCGACACGCCAAATTTACGCCATCACGTTCTGCAGTTTTGCAATGGCACGGACTCACGGACACACGCAAACGCACTTTCCACACAAAGACTCCGCCAATCCGCATGGAACAGCGACGTCACAGACGTCACTTCGCCACACGGCGTGCCACTGACTAGTTACAAGAATGTAACACCAAACCTCATTGACACCGCCAATCATCCCGCTTCCCAGTGACATCCAGGCGCTACTTCCCGCAGTGCTATGTGTATGCTTCCCGCACTGAGTGCTCCCGTACTGCATTTGTGCTACAAAGTTGCCAGTTCCGAGGCCACAGCTCGCAAGCCGCTTCCCGCACTTCATTTGTACTACAAAGTTGGCAGTTCTGAGGCCAGAGCTCCCAGAACCCGTTTCCTGTATATTACACCGTGTATTACACCAAACCACAATATTCCAGTTCTGAGGTAACAGTTCTGCCGACTACGTTTGTACCGCAAGGCCACAGGGGCGTCCAGTACATTTGTACTACAAAGTTGCCAGTTCTGAGGCCATAGTCGGCAACAGTTACACACTTTGGCCACCTTCATTTTCGACGACAGTTCAACACTTTGGCAACTTCCACCTTGATCTTCGACGACGGATACACACTTTGGCAACTCGACGCGCAATCTCCGCAAATGGTTCACCAAGAGCCCCCGAATTCGCATTTCACTTCACATTTGAGCACTGGACACGCACTATCGCCACAAAGGGTTCACCAAGGACAGGCAAAATTCACACTTCACCTCAAGTTTGAGCACTCGACGTGCAAGGGGTGTCCAGGGATCAAGACGACTTGCATGATCAAGACGATTCGCATATATAACACACCTTCGCGCATCCGACACACGCGATCTCCGCTGAGGGCCGCGCTTTGCGAGCATCGGCTGGGTCACCCCGTCGCGTAAGAGATGCATTAGAAAGATGTCGAAGTTGTAGTTGTGTGGGTGTGTTTTGTAAGTGTCCCGAGCTGTATCTCAACACCTGTATCTCTGCGCCTGTATCTCCATGCCTGTATCCCAAAACCTGCATCTCAACACCTGTATCTCAAGACCTGTATCCAAACACCTGTATCTATGTATATAGGTGTGTTATCTATGCACCTGTATGATGATGATGATGATGATGATGGTGGTGATGATGATGGTGATGATGATGATGATGATGGTTGGACAGTTGAAGTTGGTAGCAGTACGTTCTTTACTAGAACCTCGAGACCTGGTTCTTCTACCTCGGTACTTGGGAATTTTGACAACATAGAATCACTTGGTGTATCTTGGTGTGTAGCGGGTTGGCTGAGTTGTAACCGTTTCGAGCTGCTTTGGCAATGTCTCGTCCACTGGTTAGCGATCGCCACATAAAACGCCAGAACTGCTGAGTGTACGACAGTATGAATCGAATGAGGCGAGTCTTCATCTGGGACATAGGTTTCGGTTTTGGTGGCTCGTGAGACTTGATCCATGATACTCATGTGCTTGTAAGACCATGGTTTCGGAAAGGCTGCCGTTAAAGACCCTATCCCTCCCACCCCCTTCTCAGCCCTTCTCCTTTCGAAGTGCTGTCTCTCTTCAGGAAACAACACGCAGTGGAGATGTGAACCAGGAAAAAGCAAATACCTGCAAGGAAACAGCACAAACGCCTTCTGCTTTGTGATAGCTGACACGCCGAGCCTTCGGTGTGAAAGAAGACCCAAGGCACAAAGAGAAAGAACCAGACTTTTTTGGGACTTGGCTCCGAAATTACTTATCCTCCAGTTTTCCAAGCCATCCTTTGCTATGACCATCTCTCAAAGCGGTCACAATTGAATCCGGCACGCCTTCCTGTCCGAGGCCAGCTAGCCAACACCTGCAGACAAAAAAAAGGCGCTAAGCCCGGAGACAATAGGTTCCACAACTGTCAGAAGCGCCACTGAACCATAGCTATGGATGGCCCTGCAAAAAAAAAATGTGAGTCTGGCCCTGCAAAGAGCTGAACCTCACGTTATTCAGGGCATGCTGCACACTCTCAGCAGATTGTGATCGCAAGAACAGGTTCTGGCTGCAAGCAAAACTGAAGGATCTAATCTGACAGACGACAAGTGCTTGGGTAGTCAAGAAGTGGAATGACATGGAATGACTATATGTTGAATAGCAAGATATAGTCTAGTCGAATAAATCTTGTTGAGACACTCCCCAGTTGTGGGCACTGATCAAACCGCTAGATGCTAATACAAACTTCGTCACATGCGCACCATTGTGCACACAGGGAATCTTCAAGGGATTCTTTGACGTGAAAATGAGAGCACAACACTGCACTGTCAACTGTGTTTGCAGGGTGTTTGGGGTTTGTGTAGACCCTGGGAAACCTGCCGCACCTTTGTTTTAATAGCCTGAATCCTGAACGAGTTTACATGGCAAACCAGGTCAAACACCTGTCCTTTCATCGTCCAACTGCAAACGACTGGGTAGAGGCTCACGCGTCACCAGGCGGTCACGATGAAAAACACATGTTCACAACAAACAGACCTCGGGTCTAGCTTCCTATAAGTTCGGTTAAACCTGTATTTAGACCTGGATCTTCCACCTATGCAGAATGTCTGCCTTTCGTCTATAAAGCAAGCCAAATGGATCCAAATGGCTGATTTTTTACACAGTTGGAAGATCCAGGTACAAGTATATTTTGTAGAATTATAGGTATTGGAAGTTAAAGCACCATCACTGACATCCAGGATTGTTCCTGTGATTCGATCCAAGCTCTCCGTGCTGACCGCTGACCGCGAACCCAAATTCACTATATTAAATATATAGGAACCGCACACAATTTTGAAGGTGAAACCTTGGACATCCTTGGACTGTCATTTTATCTACTTTGGGAGCATAGAAAACGTGGGCAGTAGAAACACCATGTTTGCATTCCTTCACCCACAAAGTGCTGGCTTCTCCTGAAGCACGATTCCCATCGCACTACTTGTTTCACTGAGTGCAAGCCTAGCCTTGCGCAAGATCTGGGATTAACACAACTCAGGCTTTGCCACCATGCTCCCAAAGTCCAAAGTAGTCACAACCAAATGTTCTTTCCTATAGTTCAGTGCAGGTCGATTTCTCTTCCCCCCAACTCCAGGCACGCTGCTCGGCACCCGCTCGCTCGGCACCCTTCCGTCTCCGTCTCCGTCTCCCGCGTCTCCGTCTGCACCTCTTCACGATGAAAGATCGCAGTGGCTCCACCAGTGTCAGTGAGATAGAGCACCGAGCTCCAGTCCTCGGAGGCGGCGAGGACCGTCGGTGTCCTAGGACCGTGTTCCAACGGTTCAAGATGCAAACGGGGGAAAGGCCCCAATTCCGGAGCGCTGGTGGAAAGACGAGTGGAAAGCAGCATGGTTCAACACGCTGCTTGTTGATGGAGACGACGACAGTAACCACGTCAACAAGAACTGAAGCCAAGGAAGTGGTTGGTCACAACAATTGGCTGTTGGTCAAAACAGGGGGACCCTGGCTTTTCCGTAAGAAAGAACGACCACAGGGGAGGTGAAGCTACGGTGCCAGGGACTCCCGGACTTTGGCTCACCTCACTGGTGCCAAGTGTCTGCCATCTTGAGACAGCAGCGAAGCCATGTTCAGGTTATGATCGTGTTGCACGTCCAATGGACAAGATGCTTTTAGCTACACTGGCGGCAACCATGCGACGCTAGTCAGCTCGAGAGAGTGAGGGGTTACGTAAACAAGTAAACAAAACTTTAAAAGAAAAATGGTCAGACGGTCAGTCCAAAGCAAGTAAACAGTGCCCCAGTCCACTCCCAGTAATACTCAACCACCGAAAACTATGCCAATCCCATTTACAGCGTCTGGGAGGGATTCTTGGAAGTTGTACAGAATGGCCGGGTCAAAGCTCTGAATTTCCGGGTCAAAGCTCTGAATGTCCTTTTTGTTGAATACACCGTAAGTGTATCAGTTCCAACCACCTTCTGTCGAGTCAGTGTTATTTTCTATTCTTTTTCAGCTGGAGAAACATGAGAGCATGGACTGAATTGGTGGTTTTCCCACGTCAAACCCAAACGATCCAAAGAAGTTTTTGAAGAAGCCTGGCTTTGTGCAGAGTGCCCAGATGTTCAGTGCGATGTGCCAAGTTGCTTTGCACCTGTCACCCCGAAAGCCAAGACAGCTTTCTGCCAGGGACCAGAAAGAGACACCGCCCAAAAATGCACCCAGACACCACTCATGGCGCCTTTCACGAAGTCATTCTGTCCTTCCGTCCCTCCAATCCTTCGTATACCAACCCTGTCCACAAGTCGGTGAAGGCAGCCAGAGCTCCGGATATGATCTCTCTGCGGCTCCATCACGGAAGCAAAGGTTGCAATCGGTATGGAAGACCTGAGGTCTTAAGGCCGGGGAAAAGGACATGAAAGGAAACTTCTCATGCAAAGATTCATCCGCGGATTCGTCTCAAAGTTGTGGGATGACGATGTCCATCCTTGTTACACGGCCAAAGGGTTTTGAAGGGTGGGTCAAGTGTATCCGCATGGAGTTGTCCTAGTCAATGCATTGCTTGGAGGGAGTAAGTCACTGGGTTGATACCGAGAGCCGTGGCCTCGTGGCCAGGAGGACGGATGTCTTGTCTCCAGTTGTCATGGTCTTGAAGACCCAACCACAACATCTGGCAACACATCAGGGCAACACAGTGCAAATGCACCAAGAGGTTTGCCGGTGACCACTTGAATCTAGAGCAATGACTGGAAGACCCGATTGAAGACTTCTTGTCAAGGAAATCACTGCCAAGATCCATTTGGTAGCAGCATGAATGAATGGTATACCTATCAAAGAATCAAAGACCAAAGGAACTTCAAAGTCCATGCACACATCATACGTACCACTACCACTTGTACATGCACTCGAAAAAGTGGTATCATATGAATCATATGGTATCATACCATTCTTCTGACCTTGGCGCTTGGTCTCTTGATTTCATTGACTACTGACTATATATATATATATATATGATTTGGAACTGTCCTATTACCAGTAACAGTGGATGATGACGGGTAGTAAAGGCCTTTCTCTAAAATAGTGATAATTGTTTCCTGACTGTTACAGGTAATTAATAGGACAAGATGTAATTAAGTATATAAGAGTGTATATATATATATACGTCAAGACCTGGCATATGCACCAGCAAAATCCCATGCCGCACCCCCACCTGCCCCTGGCGGCCGTCCCGTTCGCCGTCCCGCCTTGGGAGGATCCGTCTCATCGGTGTCTTGCCACCACCACTCAGCCCCAACGCTATGGCGGAGCACTGCGTCCAAGGCTGGCGCCGCTCGACCGGCCGCTCAAGGCCGGAGCGACAGGAGCGACAGGAGCGACAGGAGCGACAGTCGAAGGCCGTCTTCGAAGCGTTCAGATGGTACAGTACTTAGTACAGGGACCAGGGACCATGCAGGGACCGTTCTACATATCTTTGCAAGAGAGTTTGTAGAACCATTTTCTTTTGCTTACGTCATGTGCTCTTTGGAGGGTCTGCTGAGCTTATTTCTATTGGGGCGGTGTATTCTTATTGCTCTTACAGTAGGGAACCCCCCGTTTCAACAATGGATGGTCTAGTTTCCGAACTGGTAGGGGGTCGTTCCACGCCACTCCAAGCAAATGGGATGAGATCGCACCCGTCGGGGGCCAAGCAACCCAAGCAGCCCCACTCAACTGAAGGGAGAGATCCCCCGATCCCTAATATCAGCGGTTCATCCACCATGTCACACCTGGAGCATACTCTGAATATTCCCTTTCCTCAGGGCATGTAAGTATTTGTGTCGCTTCCTCCTTAGACTCCATAGAAAACACATTGTGGTTTCAGAGTACAGTAGATGGCACTGGCAGCACAGCGCCCAAACCGCGCCCAAACCAACTGCCTGGCGCCCTGCGGAGCACAGCGATCAGCTGCTCCACGGGATTCGTCGGAGCCTCGAAGGTGGCCTGGAGCGACGAGCGACGGCGCGGTCGCTCCGAGCAGGCGAAGCGACTGGTCGGGAGGTCAACCTCTGCACGGGTGCAGATCACAGCGATTCTGGACAGCAGGGGGGTGAGTGAAAGATGATAAATACATGGAACCCCAAACAACCAGAAAGAAATGGATGTTTTCCCAAACAACCATTTCCTATGTAAAGGATTTCAATTGCCATATTGGAACAACCATTTGTTTCTAGTTGTTTGGGGTTCCAGGTAGCGGTTTTTCGGTTCGGCATCTTGAACTCACTGGTGGGGATTGCTTCGGACTCCCTGCTAGACACCTGAACTAACCTGTGCCGGCGTTCAAGAACATTGACATGCCCGCCCTTTCGAAACCTTCTGGTCAGCTTTTCAAACAGGTTGGAAGAGGAATCATATTCTTTATCTTTGGGGTGACCAAAGGAGCTCATTGACCCCAACCATGATGCGGATTTCGTACCCCAAATCGATCCCCACGGACATTCCTCCAAATCCAGCGCTCACCCTTGTCTCCTATTCTATCTACTCGATCTATACATTACTTGGCTCAGTCGTATCTTAAATGGGGTTAGATCATAGATGCATGCTATCCCACACATGGATGCTCTGGCTTCGGTCACTCCCTCTAGAGATCCCATCCTCGCGGCATCCGGATCACTTCGGGGAATGCACCCCCCTACGAAACGTGCATCCGGATGAACCGCGATGAGTTGCAGAGAGCTGTCACATGTCTTCCAACGTCTCAAACGTCACATGTCTCAAACGTCTGTTCTTGAGTTGTGCCTTGGCACAGGCTGGCACAGGGCTGGATTGGTAGTATGTTTCAGCCACCTGACCTGGTGATGCCGAAGCATGCAGTTCTGAGCTTCCACACCCAGTAGGATGCGGTGAGCGCATCTGGAGCTGCCACCGGGATTGGGCAGGTACCCAGGAAAGCGCGCAAGGACTGTCGGCGACCGAATGCGACATCGGTGGATGCGACGGGCATCGGGTGTGAGTTGTTGAGTACTGCTCGAGAAGTTTTAATCATGTGATGCTCATGTCGAGGCCATGTCATAGGTGACATGACTTGTATACAAACACTCCTCCAATCAGCTGACTTTGGGGGGCCAAAATGCGGCCCTCAGCGAGCCAGCCGCCGAAGTACGAACACTCGCTGAAGCAGCAGGGCCCTCTCGGAGGCGTTCGAGTTGGGGACCTCACGGAACATTTGTTATTCCCGAATGCGTAGCGAAGGGTTCTCGTTTAACTCTGGGGGTCTGGGGGTAGAGCCTTGTTTTCGAGTACATGCTTGCATTCGGGTTCGTGGGTTCCATATCGTTTTTTCATGTTGTTTTCCATGAAAGCACAATCGATATCTTCGGCGCAACGGGGGGTTTTCGGGTTTACGCGCTGTGGAGGGGTCTATTCGCCCGAGCAGAATTCGGAGAAACACATCGATTGCGAGGACATGCAGGCGATTGGTGGTCAGTCCCACATCGATTGGCCGGTCGGTGCCTCTGCTGCCTCTTCATCGATCAAGTTCTCCACCAAGCAAGCGCCAGCCATGGCGAAGAACGATTTTGTGTCTTCTTTGGACACGGAGAGGCGATCCGGTCACATTATCGGTCCAAAACTCCAACCACATCGAATGGCAAGTCTGACTGTTTTCCTCTTTTTTTGCTGCACCAGTGGTTTTCAGGGTCCATAGATAGCAGCCGAGGCCAAAGCCTCGCCAGGTCCGAACCCAGCAGAACCTCTGCACGATGCCGAGCCGCTGAGCTCAACCCGCCCATGTCACAGAAGAGATCAAAGGGATGTTCTCACGTCACCCGCAAATAGGATAGGTCTACACCCCGCAGAGTCGAGAAGCCATGAAGTCATGAGTACCCATAGAGATTGGGTATCCCTGAGACACTATATTCATGCACCGGATTTCATCCATAAACAAATATATGTTCAGGCAAGTCATGCCTCATGTGGAACCTCCAACGTTTCCAACTCCGATCAGAACTGTGGCGCCCTCATATCATCATCCAAGACACTCGGATCATCTTAAATTGTCAGGTGAATGAGCAAACATCAAACATAAAACAAAACAAAGATCGAAAAGCTCAGGGTAGAAAGTCGATCCTCCCTAACTTCCCTGAACCATTTTCCTTTTTCAAGTCCCGTTCCTTCTTCCACGTTCTCTGCCGATTCAAAGGATTGGTGAACCCTCTCTTGAGCCAAGGTGGACGTGCGGACGCAGCTCAAGCCGCCAAGGAGCTTCACCTTTCGCTCAAGGGCCGCTCTTCGAGGGGAGGCGACGCCCCATTCTTCGCGTTTTCTGGGGTTCTCATCTCCCCGAATTCGTTTCATGTTTGCATCACCTCAACTCGTGGCCCAGATCTGCCTCTGCCTCGCCATCCATCAGCCAACGTGGATGTTCCGATGTGGATCCTCGTGGATCCACTCGAATTAGAGTTTCTATAGGGTCTAATTGGATGCAATTGGAACCAGTGGTTACCTCCTATATCGTGGAAAGTGGATCCACTTGGATACACTGGATGTTATAAAATGTTACAAAAGCACATCAAACACACACAAAAAAAAAGAAACAAGAGAAAATGACATGGCCGCGGGGTCCATCATTGCACCACCGAACTTGGGGGGCCCAGGTCCGTGCCATCTAATCACTAACGACAACGACTGTACATGCCCCTCCGACATGGGAGCTCCCGAGTTTCAGAAGCAGGAATCCGCGTGTGCCTGCGCGGCCTCTTCAGCCGCAGCATCAGCGGCAGCCTGGCGAGCGCCGTTGGAAACATGTCATGGCACATGTTCATTGGAACTCGTTCATCACAGCGTGTTTGGGCACATATCGATTTTTGATTTGCACAAGCCAAGCCACGACTCGTGCAGGACGGCCTGTGTTTTGTTACTATAATTAAAACATATATGCCTAGCACCCAGTTGACCTCTGTTTTGATAGGAAAAGACCTTATTTTGGGTGGTTGATGATCCAAAATAGAGGTCATTCAGGTTCTAGGTATATATATATACACACATACCTGGACCTTCTTTCGGGGTGTCCTGTCTGGAGGTCCCCAAGGTCTCCAAGGTCCAAGGTCCGAGGCTTTGAAGGTGCTGGTAACCGCTTTGAAGGTGCTGGTGTGTTGTATCGGTCCAAAACCTTCAGCTTTGCAGGAAAGCACTGCCCTGAACAAGCATTAGGTTGGAGTGTTTCTGCTTCCGTGAGGCCACGAGCGAGAGAGAGAGAGAGAGGGCTCCCCAAAGTCTGTGTCCCACAAACTGTCCATGTATGGCACAAAAATGCCCAAACGGATGCCTGAAACATCCTTAAACCACCCACAACTGATCGGTTAAATCTGCCAGTCCCATGGAGTGTCTGGGACTTCAAGCAGCCATGTTGCCCACGAAGAGATGTTCATAAAGTTCACCCCATCAGAAAAGGAAGCCACTTAAGGCCTTCGGGTTCTGTTTCTTGCCTGGGCAGCAGCCTCGAGATCGGCGAGCCGCTGATGCACAACCTCGGACCCCAGCAACGGTCGATCAAATGTGTGGGTCAAACGTGTTGGGCGCTGCTAAAGGGCCACATGGACCCCCGAGAAGCACGGGGTGGGTCTTCGGAAAAGGGTCGAAACAAAAAGGGATCCATTCGAAAAGGGTCCATGTGGTCGGTCGGCCGGGGGGTGTAAATGAAAAGTAGACCAAGACTTCTCTGGGTTGTTCTGGGTCCTTTGGTCTCATTTGTTGAACAATTCCAAGGAACTGCCGGTCATGTGAGGGGCAAAATATCGCATCTCTGACGGTCATTGCTTGTGAACAGGGAACCTCTGAACCGACATCCAAGGAATTATCGTTTTTTTCATGATGCACCGAGCTCCGTTTGGAGAGGACATGGTTCTGGGGGGAAAACGGTATGGTAGGAACCCAACCAATGAGTGACACCCCCTAGGGCTCCTGTCCCATCTCGTCAGAAGCTAGACCCTGGCACCCACCCACTTCCCACCTAACCTGAGGGATGTAGTTGGACACCCAGGGCACCATCACGCTCGGTTTCGGATGCCCAAACCACCTCCGTGCCTCTGCCAGGTTCGCCATCTGCCCCTGCTGCTCCTGGTGGACGTGTTGTGCGCTGTGGAGAGCCCGTTTGAAGCTCCACCGCCTGTGTGAAGGTTAAAGAATTCAGAATGGTTTCTATCCGGTTGAAAAAACATCCACCTATATATACATGGGAGATGGTTTGAAGAATGTCTGACATGTCAAAAAAGAACCCGACACCGAGTCTTCCTGATCTTTTCACCCGACGACTCCACACAGCTCCGACGATCACAGCTCCGATGGTTGGCCGCTCGGGTTGAAACCGTGCAAACCAAAGGGAGACACGGGTAGACTAAGAGGAACCAAAGGAGGAGCGCCCTGCCTGTGTTTTGTGTTATATATGATATAGTATATTATACAGTATACATCTAGACAGAGGTTTTACTTGTAGTTGTGGTCGTGCCTAGATATTGAAGCCTGGGTAGGAGTGGCCTTGGCGTTCTCTTTGCTTTAGCACAGGTGCTTCTTTTTAAAATATATAACACCTGACAGCACCTTCACTTCAGCTTCTCCTCAGTCAAAGCTGTTGTGTCCCGAAGAGATTCCAGCAAGCCTGACATGCAGTCTGACGTACGCCAGCTCCAAGTTCCGATTAACTTGAGCACCCTGGACTACAACACGTTTGAAACACCACCAAAGGAGTCTTGTTAGGGTTTTACTTGACTGTGCAATTATCATTCCTGAGAGAAAACATTGACAGTGAATAGAGTCAGAGGACGGGGTACAGGAAAGGGTGAACAAGCTATAGCCTATGGCAATGGAGCTACAACGGAACGTGTGCTCAATTCACATAGACAACCAACCAACAAACAAACAAACAAACAATCAAGCAATCAAACAAAGAAACAAACAAAGTTCCAAAGGAAGTGGTCACTTTGAGACCCAAAGAAATTAGTGGATCATGGATGATCATGGGCCATCCCGGCCTCTGTGAACGAATTCCCGGAACCCTAACAATCCCTGGGGTCAGGCTTTGTTTTTGATCTATAGTGCCTCCCAACTTCGGTTGCTTCGAGCGGGACTTGACTCTTACCAATGACTTGTTGAATCATCGAACATGGCCCCCCCCCCCCCCCCCCCAAAAAGAAAACGCGACATACTTCGAGGACTTCTTTTAAATTCATGATATGTCTGGCTCGTTCACAGTTCCACCTGTCCAAAAACGCACCGACTCACTCGCCGTCCGAACGGACACCGTCTTCGGACTCGCCTCACCCCCAACGGGACGGACGGAAGCGACGCTTTTCACGACCGCCTTGCAACGCCTCGGTGGAGTGCATCTCCTCGCGTTCGTCCCAAAGGACTTCGGTTGGTTAAGGTGGTCGATGGACGGTGAGATGGACGGTGAGATGGACGGTGTTTGGAGGTAGTAGAGACCTGTAGAAGTAGACGCATGTCGGATCACCACAGAGCGAAAAGAAGAACGACACTGGAATTTGCATTGTTGATTTGTCCATTTGCCCCGAGGTGGATAGCACCCGATGTTTGACAGGTTGCCAGCTTTTACCACGATGTGCTGTTGGTGTTGTTGTCGTCGTTCTCGTCGTGGTAGTGGTGGTGCTGGCGATGGTCGTCGTCACACTTGGCCTTTGACAATGTTTTCCTGATAGAAAGAGCCTCATGAAAGGGAGAAAGGCCCGACGAAGGTGCTTCTGTGCAGAAGATGAGGTTGCAACCTATCGCTATCATGGCATGATTCATGGATCCATCATAGCCATATCATCACTACTACATCATGAGTTTGTCCTGGCTATATCATGGCCCTATCATGGCTACATCATGGCTGTCATTTTCTATATCGTGGCCATCTCGAATCATGGCTACACCAAAGCCATATCATTGCTCATCCTGGAGTAGATAGAATCTAGCAAAATCAAAAAAAAACATAGGAAACTGTTCATGTTTATGGAACAACATAACATACATACATATATATATATATACATTAAAATAACTTCTACAAGATCCACCAGATCCAACCGTTTTGAGCACCGCGGCACCTGGCACCTGTTCCGTCCGTGGGCCGGATAGTCGCGTCCTCCACGCGCTGCCGCAAGCAGCGGAGCTGCTCTTCGGCCTCTGCCTGAGGCACTGCTTTGGTGCATGCCTTTGGATGGAAGGGCTTCCAAATCCGTGTCCAGTTTTTGATGTTTTTGGGGTGTTGTTCTGGAGGGGGGGTCAAAAAACAACAACGGGGCTGCAGATGTTGTTTCTAGGGGGGGGAGGCGACAACAACATCTTTTGAGGGGGGCCCGGGGTCCAAAAAAACAACAACGGGGCTGCAGTTTTTGTCTCCAGGATGTGGTAGAGGTTCTAAGTAGAAGTTTTACAGAGGCTTAGCTGACTGGACTACCACCACCACTACTACTACTACTACTACTACTACTAAGTACAAGTACAAGTATAAGTATAAGTACAAGCACTACCACTTCTGGTAAAAGTACATGTTGGCTGGTTGTTTT